GAAACTAGCTTACTTTCTTTCCTGGTAAATATATACTTCATATCACATTTCAAGTTTCACAACAGAATGATTGGTACATCCAGCCTGAATGTGGAGAGCTGGTTGAACCAGAAATTACATTCTATTAATGCTGACTAGTTTTTTTTAAATACTAGCAAGCAAGAATGGACTGCTGGTAAGTTTAGCACTATTTTAAAAATATGGGATCATGGATGCTCTAAATTGAAACTAAATCAGTAACAAAATAGAACAAAGAACTATTCAGCTATCCAGGAGTCTACTTCTCTGCTCTTACTTTCAAAGATTCTCTGTAAGTGAAGGAAACTAAGGTTAAGGTTTTAATCTTTTGAAAGATCTTTATCATATCCCCTCCCCAACACTAAGCTCTAACAATTTTCAGTTTAATTTATCAATGACATTTCTTCATTAACCATACCAACATATTCGTGGTTTTATTTTGTATAAAACTTTCAGTAACAAAATCATAATCAGGAATGAAAATACAGCAAATAAACAACAAATCTTGTAAAATTCACAAACACACTACAGGTAACTTTTCAGCTTGTTTTTTTACAACTTTCCTGCATGAAGATATGAGTAGTTTTCTAAATTATAAGCTAATGTAACATCTGGGCAAGGCTAAAATTATTTTCATTTCCAGCACTAGTGAACCAACCATGGAAATTCCTTAGATATCAACCCCATGGCTAGCAGATGCAAAGAATGAAATATTTTGCATGGAATTATCTCAATAAAAAGATAAACTGTATTCCTTCCATATTCCTACTCAACCAAAAGTCTTCTCCATGAATTTTTTTTTCCAGGTGAGTCAGAAGACTACGACATCTGCTAGGGATGGGAACAAAACAGAAGACTGCTCATCCCCTCCTCAGATCAAGGCCTCTCTGCAGCAGCAAAAGAAGGCATTTCTAGTACCTTTACCTCAAGTGCAACTTAGGACCAACTATGTTACTTCCTGTGCTAACTTCTGCTGATAACAGGAATAGAAAACCGATGAAAAATTTTCAACTCCAGTGGTTCAAACAGTCTAATGTTTACTGCTACAAGGATTCAATGAAGGACCAACACTTCAAGTAACAAGGAAACTGTTTAACTGTTCATAGTGATGTCCTGGTTTCAGCTGGGCTAGAGTTAATTTTTCTTCTTAGTAGCTAGAATAGTGCTGTGCTTTGGATTCAGTATGGGATTTGGTATGAGAATGCCAATAACACACTGAAGTTTTCAGTTGTTCCTAAGATATCAAAGACTTCCCAACTTCCCATGTCCTCCCTGTGTGCAGGCGTACAAGAAAGCAGCTGGGAGGGAGCACAGCCAGAGCTCTGGACCCAAACCGCAATGAAATATTCCATACCATGTAACATCATGCTCAGCATATAGAGGAGGGTCACCTGGGAAGAGGGGCAGGGGTTTTCTCTAGCTTCTGAGATTATGCTTTCAGTATCTTTGCTTTTTCTGAGATTGCTAGCCAGGAATGGGCTGGGTATCAGTTGGTGGGTGGCGTGCAATCGCATTGTGCCTTACCCATTTGTACTTTCTAATACTGTTATTACTGTTTTATTTTATTTTAATTATTAAACTGTTTTTATCTCAATCTATTAGTCTCCCTTTACCCTTCCAATTCCCTATCCCATCCCCTGGGCAGGGGAAGGTTAGCAAGTGGCTGTGTGGTGTCTGGCTGCTGGCTGGGTTTAAACCACAAGTGACTGACATTTAAGTTTAAAGGTTTTAGCAGCTCTAAGAGTAGAGTATTAAACTAAACATACACTAGCACCTAACATTCTCTTCAGCTCAAAGATTTGTTTTCCCCAACTTCCAATATTTATTTCCCAAAATGTATGCACTTAGTGCAATCTGATAGTTCCATATACTTTGGAAACTGTCAAATGCAGGAAGGCTGTGTAAAGTGTACCTTCTAAACTGCAGAGCAGTTCAGCAGAAAACTCTAAATATGCTAATAACAAAGCAATTAAAGACACACCAGATTTTCATCATGCTGAGTGTTTAAATGAGAAGTCTTAACTACACTTTCAGATCTTCCCATTAGAAATACTACAACACAACTGAAGATGTAAAGAACCAGATTTTGAAGTATGTTTTATGATTAGATATTCCTATATTAAAGATAAGGGCAGAATATTGCAGAAAACTTGAGGACTAAAAGTCAATTTAGCTGTTAGAGAACTCAGGACAAGGGAACCCCAAAGTATTTTGACTCAATATTGTTTGCATACTATGAACTCTAACAAATATGTAAGCAGTACTGCCTTTTTTAAAGGAAGGGTAGAACACTTGAGTTAGAAAAAGCAAAAAAGAACATCTATTGCAAGAAGGAGGACGAGGGACTAATGTCTACACAGGAAAATAGATTCTTAAATACTACTCACAAACTGCAATTAAGGATGTGATAAGGTACAGAACTAGCTGAGTACAGAACTACTTACCTATGACAACTTCTGTAAGGCAAACAGATGTGCTCAAATGAGTACCAATATTTCAAAATACTGTACTTGAAGCCATACAGCTATCTACTCATAACAAAGAAGCTAACAGTCAGCAAAAGAGAAATAACATTCATCTTCAAGAAGACATAAAGTTTAACAAGCTCTCTCCAATGGAAAAATGCTTAAGTATTTTCTCATATTTAACAGGTTGCCTAGGTTTGCTACCCATGTCATTATCATAGACTGGTGAGACTCAATCAGTGGAATGTACCACCGTATCGTCAACAAATCCATCCACCCCTCCAGGATAAGAAAGTGTCCGCTGCACATGGCTGTATCTACCGGTAATGGCTAGGGCTTCTCAAGCCATCTCTTCAAGCAGTCACAACCCTACCTCCGCTCAAATCCAAGGCGGAGAAAAGAACGATAATGTTTAAGAAAAAAAAAAAAAAATCACTAGAAAAAGGCAGGATTGAGACGCTCGGGCAAAGCCACCACTGGACACCTATGCAGCAGACAGTAAAGAGGAGCCCCTGTCCGCTACCAGCCCCAGCTTTCACAGCCACCTCAGCCCTCCAGGACACCCCACCCCACGGGCCCGGCGCCGCGGAGCCGGACCCAGCGCTTCGCTCCCTCCGCGGACAAGACCTGGGCCCCGCGCTCCCGAGGGCGTCCCAGCCCGAGCAGCCCCACGGCTGCTGCACT